TAAACGACGACTCTTCTGCTCGTCTACGTCCTCCCACCTAGGTAGGGTTCATACACGTGCCTTTCCAAGCTCAGGCCTAGAGAGCGCAGACGTACAATGCAAACGCGACCCAGTCTTGTAGCGTGACTCTCCTCAGTCACCTCATATGGGCGTTCGTATTGAAGGGGTTAACTGGTTCAATAACATAAGTGATTGAATACCTTGATTGCTGTGAACGCTGGAAGAGTGGCGAAGGTAAAAGCGAAGTTGGCAACGGTGTTCACAGCAAATACCATTGACTGCACAACTGAGCGATGTTGTTGACTGACTAGTTCCGATGTGATGAAGAAAGCTATGGGACCGAGACCAACGCTGAAAGATGCGAGCTAGTTAAACGTTCTCGGTACCAAGTACAATTCATGTCCCTAGGATGGGGAGGGCGTGACTGCGTGGGGCGCATTTTCTGCGGGTTGGATCCGTTTGAAACAACTTTCGTCCAGTAGTGCGCTGGACAAATATACAGTTACAATTGCACGAAATCTTCACAATATTCCACCAAAAGCACAACTAGCCGCCACGTTTGGATGAAGTATGTACGCAGCCACACCCTCCCTTGTCCACGATATGGAGTGTTTACCTTGCGCAACTGCGTAGTCAGTTGAGTTCGCTTAATTTGGTAAGGTTGTCCCTCCCTGCTCGACCTATACTCAGGAACTCTAGTGAGAGCCAGTTCAAAATGGGTCCGCAGTCCAGAGATTGATATTGCCCCTTGCTAGGATACGTCATGAGGGCACGTGGCGTCTCATGTCACGCCTCACGAGAAAATCGCGTCTGACGACGTACAGTCTTGTTCGCTGTGGCGTTTTAGAGGGGGGGGGGCTGGGTTTGGCGCGCGCTAGCCTGTTCTCCACCAGCTGTGGAAGCTGGCAGGCGGCCACAATTGTTGGAGAACAGGCTGGTGCCGCGTTAAACAGAACTCAGCCTCAGCGTCCACAGCGAACAAGATTGTACAGTTTATCGACAAAAATTTCTTAAATTTCTCTATGCTGGGTAACAGAATGATATGGAAAAGAAATACAAGAGGATGAGAGTTTGTTGTGACTGTCGAAATTTATTTGGACCAGGCTATGAAGAAGTAAGAGAAAGGGCTCCATATGGACGACAAACTTCTTCAAGCAAAACTTTGTGCAAGTTTCCGCATTCTGTGGAAAGTGGTCTACCCATCCCGATGCTCCTTCCCCTCCCGCGATAGTGACGTCTCATGGGCAGGGTAGAGCATCATTCGGATCCATCAAGGGACAGGTCGTGTTTTCTTGCTCTGCTAGGTGATCGTATTAATCACCTCGGGGAGAAAGTTTTCCAAGTTGGAAGAGTTCGATAATGTGGTAGATATTTTGTTGGGGGGTCGAGAAAAGGAAGTGTGGGGGAGGGGCACCCCTGTGTTGTATTGTCCAAGGGAAGTGGCTTATCTTACCCCGTGACGTGGCCTGTACATTGCGGACTTATATTACACTGCTATCATAAGCACCTTCACATGTTTAAGTTTCATGATAATTCATCAAATCAGAAAGCTGACTTACCCATAGGTAATCCCGAATAGTATCAGGGCAACGATAGTGCCCCATCTGAGTGGATTATACACAACTGCCAACTGATCAAATAACACGTATAAAGCTAACGAGATCGTGTTGAGCATTCCTAGCCAAAGTACTAAAGTACGTCTACCGAATCTGAAAACAGGGTTTTTTGGGGATCTCCCCAATCACATGGGTGCACAATAGTCGCAAAAATCGATATATTGATTAAATTATCCGACTATAGAAAACAGACCTTTCAATAATAAACATTCCACCCATGCCGGCGACAAAATTGGATACAATGAATAGAAGTGAGGCAAGTTGTGCGATTTCGGTCGAGAAGTGCACCATCAGCATGTCAGTAGAGAGATAGATTATCGACCAAATACCGATCACGACCTGAAAGGTAACTGCGAATGATCTTGTTCACGACTGGTCCTTCGTAGCCAAGAAGTTGTACGGCTGTTGAGTGCAAATCGACTTAGGCAGCGTTCAGACTTCGCGTCGACGCGCTGTAACGCGCGAAGACACGCTGCAATTGTAACAGCGCTCCAAAGCCACAGATGGGAATGCAGCCGCAGACGGCCAGTGCCGATTGATACCAGTCTACAGAATTAGGCAATACCCACCATCCTATTACCCTCCCCCCCCGCCCTCCCCTCCCCTCCCCGCCCCTCCCATTCTCTCGAAACAGAAGCGGTCAGCGCCCATCGATGGAGATCCGCAGACAAGAATCGGTCGGTGGCGGCTGTCTGCGGCGCATTTGGGTCTGTAGTTATGGGGTGCTGTTGCCACTGTAGCGCATCGACGCGCATCATGGCGAAGTCCTAACGCTGTCTTGGGGTCGCTACGCAGCCCTAGACTCTAGGGGGGTTCAGGAAATCCACATTGCGGCATCGCGTGTACGGCATTCGCACCAAGACCTAACTGCCTTAACGCGGAAGTGCTACAGTGCTACAGTATGACCGGATAACTGCCTAGCATATGCTCGCCACCGAAAAGTGGCATCCTTACCCAAATAGTTAGGCCCCTTGCTAAGGTTGTTGGACTCACTTGGAGGCATAGACAACCGATGAAGAACGGCGTTCGTAGATGTGGTTCTCGTAGGACGGTGATAGCTGAGGAAAGTAATGATGGCTTCGAGCTGGCCTTGTCATCGATTTCCAGCAGCATTTCGTCCAGAATAGCGTCCAAGTCAGGTGAGTCTCCTGAAGCATAGCAGTTTACAGGGTTTTTTCAGATTCCATAATTACACTGTTGCTTGGACTATCCTTTGCATAACTTCCGCGATAATCGGGTGGGCGGAGAAATGGGCCGGGACCGCCATTGGGCTTCTCTCATTGACACACTTCTCTTAGCATATCAGACCAATGATGAACATCGGTAACAGGGATCTCCGCCCATCCATTATCATGAAATGTGCCGATAAGCTCCTCTGTCGTACCCCGATGTGATAAAACACGTTTGTAGCGTACCTCGGTAGAATTTCAGCGACTCCATCGCCGCGTTCCTATCTTTTCGATTCAGGAGAAGGAATTTTGGAGTTTCTTGAAGCTGGATGATGAGAAGAATTGAGGCTACAGCAGGTATCAGCGCGATACCTGAAAATGTTTTCAAGTGAAAAAAATGAAAATTCTTCTAATTACTACTACCAAATTAAGGAGCTGAGCGAGAATGGGGGGAGCAGGCGGCCAGAGACTAGGACAGCGCATTACTCTAAGATGTCTATGCCTCACTCTACATGAAGGCGCAAAGTGCAAGGAGGGAGGAGGGGACGGAGAAGAGCCCTAGTCTAGATGGCGCAAATTGTAGGGAGAGGAACGGAGCAGCAGGATGAAGCAAGATAACAGCTACCACATCGAACACACTTCCCGTCGCCAACTTTACGTAGACTGTGTGTTACGAAGATGGAGAGGGCGTGGCTGCGTACTTCATTCGAAAGTGGCAGTGGCCGTTGGTGAAGTACCTTCGTTTTGGGGTAATTGTAATAACCGTTATTTGCACAAAACACGGGACACTTGTCTGAAAAAATATCGCATAAGAATTGTACCCTGTGCACGTACAAATGAAGGGTGCATTCACGCCCTATCCATCTCCGAGGTATGAAGTGCAGCTATATAATAGCCTTGTCCCACCTGTGAGTACCGGTAGGTTGTTCCCGAAAACGGCGTCCATTCCAAATCCGATGCCCATCACTGTCGTAGCTATGAACGTGTTTTCCGAAAGGAATGACGTCATACCACGATATTCTGTGGGCGTGGCTTCCTGAAATCTTTCTCTCATTTTCTATTGGTGCAGTTGCGATTAGCCAGTATTACCTGTAGGAAGAGTATCAAGGCACCGAAGGACACACCAGAGCTGAAAGACGCGATCAGTCTGGATGCAAAGAATAGCTCCGGCACTGAGAACACAGTGCTGAAGAAGGCCATTGCTGAGCCCAGGAGGGCCACGATATTGGCTCCAAACAGGGTTTCTGAAAATAGCTATCAATGGCCAAGAGGTTTTGATTATATTCATGAGTCACAATTCTTTGGTAAAAATTGGCAACGCGGTAAGAAGCGTACTGCCGTATGTATGCAGTTACATAAGTAGTTGCATATGAAAAATTTCAGCACTGGACTACAATTCTGTGAATAACGAACGACTGACTTTTTCTTCCGTAGTTTTCCGTGAAGTAGGGTGTGACAAATGTTCCCAGCAAGTAGCCGATGAACCACACATTCAGTACCGCCGACCATATCCATATGTATAGCGAAGGAGCGATACCATCCTGAATACGATTTTCCGTTTATTGATCGGCCAAATCGCTATTATGTACCGAACCACCTTATCAGGGCACATCGTTGTTGGGGATTCCTCAACGGAGGGGTCGTACTTTGGTTGAGAGAAATTTCTTTTGATAGTTGATTTTTCTTGTTTCAGGGACGTTGTAAAGGGGTGGGTTTCGTATTTGATCGCTACTGGGGAGAGGTGTGGAGGGTCGTATTTCCCTTCTATCCCTCCTGACCTTTGGAGAGGTTGCTGAGTTTTCGTGGTTGTTCCTTTTCCATGTGTACCATAACCTCCCCCCCCGCTCGACGACACAATTTTTGGGTAAAAGTTGGGTTAAAGTAGGAAAATTTCCAGGAAATTCCAGAAAAAGTGGTAGGAGGTTGGAAGGGGACCGAGGTGGGGGGAGGGTCTGCACCTATACTACGAGATTTTTTCTCTATTATGGTCTTCGAGTGATTATTATTGTTCATTGGTTCATTGGTGTTGTAGGGTAAGTTGATCAGATCACGTCCCGCCGTAGGGGAAATTAAGTGCGATCCCTTCAAAACGCTCTTCCTTTCAATTTTTATTTCCAAAAAAAACTGCTGTCGAGCGGGGGGGGGTGTGAAGGTCACGTGGAACGAGAAAACCGAGCAAAGTCAACAACTGAAAGCATTTTTCAAAAGGGCAAATACGAGCCCCCCCCCCCTCCCTTTCGCTGGGGATAACGTATGACGTTCCTTGAGGTCAATATGGCGAAGCGCAAAAATAATTGAGTACGGTCAGTCCCGGCAACTTCCAGCCGTTTTTTCGCTCATCTGCGCCCTCTCAGCAAAACAAAATCGAGTTTATCTTGCAGTTAAAAAAGAGGATTGATTGGTGGCGCTCAATACCCTTTCAAATACCTCAAGTTAGCTGCCTAGTGTTTCTAGGATGAACTAAAAAAACCCAAAATAAAAATAAAAAAAACCATACCTCATCTCCGCGCTTGATGTAGGAGTCGTTGATCATCGCTTGGAAGGATTTGTATGATGTGTTTGGATACGAATTCGAATATCCCTCCTGGAAATAACCAGTATGAGGTATGATTGGTAGAATGATTCAAAAAGGAGCGGAGGAAAGGGGGACGGGGGAAGAGAGTACAGCATAGGTGGTTATTATAGCTATGCTCTCTTGAGCTGAGTAGTACTTCCATACATATTCCACGTTGATCGAATGGGCGGAAGCAGGCCTGGTGCTTCGCCCTCGCACAATGACTCTTGGCTGTTTTAGAAAACATGGTAAACAACCAGTGAAGAGGCTACAAGGGTGTACTTGGCTCACTCTATGACCCGAATCAAATTGCGCCCTTGAGATTGTTAGTCTTTCAGTGGACACTTGGAGTTGATATCATAGCAATCCGGCGGAGCGATGCCAGGAGGCACGGAATAAGCCCACCCGCGGCATTTTTCAGCATTGGTTGTTTTCTATTTGAATCTGCTGCTATTGGTAGAAAACGCAGCCGCAGGTAAGCTGATTCCTCGCCCAGAGTACAGCATGCTTGTGTGATACAGATAGGGGGATCCATGTGCTTCTGAGAAAAGTTGCTGCGTTGGGAAAAAAATTTTTCTCGGTCGTTGACTTTTTTGGGTTTTTCCTGTTTCATGTGTACTATATTCCCCTCTCCTCCCCCCACCACGCAGATATGCACAGGTTTGGGATTTGCCTCTCCCCTAATATAAGAACTCACTGGAAAGTTCACAACAGCTCCTAGTGAACCAAAAACCAGAAGGCAATTGAGCATACGACCTGAAATTAGACTTTTCCTCATTATTCAGCTAATATCAATATTGGTTCATATGAAAATTACCTCTGGGTGCGAACATTGTTGATTTGTTAGTTGGGTACTATATAACAAGTTGAACACACTCTTCCGATGATCAATAACAACTGCCGTAGTACGGGGCCCTTTTCGCATAGGATGCCCTTTCTGAAACACAAAAAAATTAATCTTCGGCAAAATTTGAATTCATCAGCTGTGCAATCGGGGAGGGAAGGCTGCTTCAAAACAGTTCACATCGGTCACAAGGGCAGAGTCAAGTTTACCATTTCACCTCTCTCTCTCTCTACGGCCCGCTTCACATTTTAACGTTTTAGTCACGACTGTCGAAGGCATAATTGCAGGTCTGACTCCGCCTATGTGACTGGCGTGGACTGTACCTTTACATTATGAATGTGAAGTCGGAATAAAGCACTTCATAGATGATTCAGTTGACAGTTTTCGGTATTGGGATAAGGGCATGAACAAGGCTTAATTAACGTCTTGAGGTTATTATTCAACTAATTAAAGTTTTCTCTCTTACTATCATTTTCACGCGTGCCAGTGACGGTCTGGGGGAGGGTGGGGGGGGGGGAATGAGGCCAATGAGGCCGACCGCAGCTTTTTTCTCTAGTGCTTTTTTTACCTGAACGGACCCACCCACTACTGGTGGAAAGCGCAACAGTTGGAGGGCTCATTACGCTTTGTGACACCGCCCGTACAGACTGCGACGATACCAGCTGTTTATGCTGAGGCGTCAGACACGAGTTCATTAGGGAACTCGGATACTGCAACACTTCCTCGTTGAATCAATTAGGTCTTGATGCGCATGACGCAGCTCACAGCAGTGTTTTTGCTGCTACGCCACGTTCAAAGCGAAGCACGCAGCCACGCCCACCCTGTCTCCGGGATAGGAGGGGTACATAATGTTCTACATCTACAACTGGAACTATCTTTGATACACATCTAAAAATACAAATTCACATTTTACGAGTGGATTTGCAATAGAAATTCACTCTTGAATTATCTATGTTTCTAGCTCTTTAGTCCTATCCCCAATTTTCGTCAGTTGGTCATTGACACTGCCAAAAATCATATTAATCTACACCCGAAATAAAACCCCAGTAATTCGTTCGATGGGTGGAAGGCACCACATTTCAGCTCCATGACTCAAAAGCAGTTTGACGGTCCTTGGCCTATATTTGTTTAGCTTTTTTAGCAGGTGGTTGGATTCGCGCGACAAAGTAGTGACAACAGTTTGAATATTTAACAATTCCCAAGTAATCAGCTCGAACCCTTCTTGTTCTAGCCAGCTCTCCCCTATCCTCCCTATACCTGCGAGCTTTACTAGTTGATGCTAGGTCTACCTGAGGAGAAAAGCGCTGAATACTGATTGGACCCAATCTGTAGGCGAAGTACGTCATTGTAGCGCGAGTTGGGCCAATTTCAATGCACCGCAATGCTGAATACAAGCCAAATGCATGGCGCATCCAGGACATCCATTGGACATCCATTATAGTGCGTTTTGATTACCTGCAAGGAGTCCTCTGCAAGGACTACGTGAACCGTTCAGATGGACGAAAGGGTACGAATAGGTCTGATAGGACAGCTAGTGATGAATGTTTTGTATGCACGACAGTTATATAACATTCACGGGAGCTTATTCTTTTTTCCGTATTTTGTGCATATTAAGCGGGATTAGACTTTGTATAATAGTATTGTTTACGGAAACTAGTGTAGTGTAGCACATGTAACTATTCATTGTTGGCAACTTGTACCTCGCTGCACTGGGACAGATAGGGCTGAGCAAAATGAGTTTTCACTAGTTGCACAGTCAGTTCCCCACCCCTCAGTTCCCCCTCCCCATCCCGGCTAATCCACACTTTGACAAGTTTCTCATGGAAACTCAGCGCAGCTAAGGGTATTGTAAGGAGGAGGGTAAGTTTGACTTTTGAGCTGAAGGGAGTTTCGAAGCGAGCTGTGAGGGTGGACAAAAAATCTTCATCACAATGATATATCCTACTTCCACCCCTGCTAATCTTCAGCGTTCTTTATTGGCCAGTCAGCACTGGGCGTATGACGTTCAGGAAGCTTCAAAAGTGCGAAGTTTGCTCATCGATAAGGGGTTTATTCGAGAGATGATAAGATAACAGATTTCTCTTAATTACAGTCATAAAAAAGCACTGATAGCATGATTGATCAAAGGTTTTTTGCATTGAAAAATCTTCGAGAACTCCCAAAGTACAGTGACACAGAAAGTCCTTAGCGAACGGTGCACGACGAGAAAGTGCAGAGTTGTTTGTGAGTCAATGGCGGACAGTACTGTAAACATGTCGGTGGGAGAAAAACGTACTTTTTCAAAAAAGTGTAAGGTAAGGCGAGTTTGTTAGAGTGTGTGAAATGAGGCGATCTTTGCCTAAGGAAAATAAAATACGAACCCAATGAAAGATTTAGTATAAAAAGATATCAGCGATTCAATTAATGTCAGTGGGACAATAGCTGGGGGTGGGCCAACGTCACTGGTGGAAGTGAGGCAAACGCCGCTTCCGCATAACTTCCTCCAGTGACATTGGCAGCAACCGCCCGCCCAGTCATCATGCCCACTTCCTTCAGGCAAAATTGAAAATTGCAAAAAAAAAAAAAAAAGTGTATTATAGAATTGAGAAGCGAAAGGTAACCCCGGGGCCAATCATTAGTTTTATATGCGCCATGATTTCTTCTTCCATGTATCACAGGAACCATTTGTGGACTGTGTTCTCGTTCTCGGAGGCAATTCTGAATATCGGTTTGCCGTCCCTGATGGATGGAACACACGGCTTGTTCGATGGAACACACGGCTTGCCCAGGTGGAAGGACCATCCTAGATTTGACGTCCCCCTCTTACCGTCAGTGAAGCCACTAGCGAGCTGGGAAGTCTGACTCCTCCCCTACAGCCGACATGGACTACACCTTTGAGTCAATCTAACGGCAATATTGTACGGCAAACTGTTCCCGACTCTGGAATTAGGAGTTGAACACACTCATCGTTAGCTTCTCAGACGTTTACGAACGCGACAAAGCCGAAATCATTAGTGCAGTGCGTCATTCTAGCATATTGGCTGATATCACATGGAAAAATTGATGTAATGGTTTAGAAACTGGAGGGAGGGATGACAACTGGAGCACGTGCTATTTAAAGGCAGCGCCCGCGTTCATTTGATGTTCCTACGCCCTCCTTAGATATCGTAGCTTTGTCGACAAGGGTGGAGGATGTACTAATTTCGCAGCTCAAAAATACGAGAGGATGGCGCCACCCGCTTGTGAAGAGGATGCCGCCCGCCCACCTGGCTGCCATAACTGCTTTGGCTTAGCCTTTAAAGGCTGAGCCCGCTTTCAAGAATAATGAGTTATGGAGCTCATATAATACGTGATCCAGTAGTGAAGAAAAAAAGCAGAAAAAATCATGGAAAATGCCCTATATAGAACCCTATGCTGGCCAGGTGGGCGGGGCGGCCGACTCTTCACTAGCGAACGGCGCTATCCTCTCGCCTTTTTGAGATGCAAAACTAGTACATACTGCATCCTCATAGGGGGCTATGATATCCAGAGAGGGCGCGGGAACATCAAATGAACGTGGGCGCTGCCTTTAAGTGACACCGAGCACAAGATTACTTACCTTCGAAAATTCAAATTCTTTTGTAGTGAGGTCGCGACAAACTCAAGTACAATACCGGATAGTTTGATCTAGTGAGGTATGCCTGATGTTGGTTGGTGGGTATTTGACTAGTGGAAGTACCTGTTAAAAAGCGCTAGCGTTTGATTAGCATACATGCCCTTTACGGTGACTTGTGACATTGTCGAATTGGCGGTTGGATCATGTAAATTGCCTAGTTCTGCTCCAAAGTTCGCGTCATTCAGTAGTGGAGAGAACGGAGGATGTTTTATAGTTTTCTGATTGGGCCCTGCATCCGTCATCGAGTTTTCATCTTCTTACTTGGATTCAACGAATAAAGGATGAAGGTTATCTATGGTAAATTGAGGTGATAGTTTAGCACCGGGTGGCGCCACTTACAGCCATCCACTTCTGGAGGCTCGGTCAACCCTTCGCGGTTAGGTGAGACAGCGTAGCCCTCCCTTCTGACGGACTGAACTGCAGAGCACTTGTCACGAGTGGGAGGACTGGGCATTAGCAATAGCGCTGACACAATCCTGGGACCAATTCCCTGGTCGATCTAGCCTACTATCCTCCAGGGTGACCAACTTATAAGACGGTTTAAAAGGGAAACTGCACTGATTTGTAGGTTGTTCTTACAAGTCTTTTCATATACGCGTTTAAATGCCATGTTGATCCTAGACCGAAGCCAAATGCATGGCGTATTCTGAAAAAGGATTGATCAAAGTCAAGAGCTTTCTGGTGGATGGCTTCAGCTAACTTCGGAAGGATAAAAGAATACCCACTAACTCCTCAAATGTCTATGTAAAGGCTATATGGCATTCGAATGCTCCTACAGTTCTGAAAAGAGGTAGAATGCGAGGCTCATCAAGAGGGAATTGACCGCTGGCTTTATTTGTTCTTCATTCACAGCTCAATCTTTCCCTTCTTCGAAATGGTTTAGGGTGTTCAAACAAGTACTGAATCTACAATACATAACCCCACTGTCCGTGAAGCGGAACCAGTTTGGTGAAGTGAGGACAAGTTTGAAAAACTGTACTTTTCCTCATTTTTGAAACACTGAATTATGAGCTATGTTTTGCATTAGTTGACCAGTGCGTGTGAATGTCGGCATTTGACGTCCACATTTTTGATCCCTAAGGGCCAACTTCGGTAAGAATGAGCAATAAGGGCCATCTCTTACGAATGCGCAATATTGATTAACAGCAACTAACTATAATAAATTGATACTGACATAATGTTGACAGCGATGATTACGAGTTTTTCATTCCTACTAGTTAGAAACGTGACTGATCATGTGCAGTTAACCCAGTGGGAAATCTGCTTACTTGTACTCTGCTCGCTCATAGTTCAACCAGATGTAATTGATATTATCGCAGTTAGGGGGGCATGTCAGGAGAAAGCAATTCTTGCCG